TGTTAACGAAACAACTGTTAGTGAAGTGATTGTTGACAACATGAATCAAACCAACATTTATTTTTACGTTATCAAATACATGCCTGTTCTTATTCCTCCACTCAAACAAATAATTGTTCACATCACAATGAATGCTATTTGGAATGTAATTGTTTTTTATGTGTCGATTCTTAGTGAATGTTCTGGTCTTGGAACAGTTTTTGTTTATCAATCATTTACAAAAACTTTTGTGACATAATTATTATTATTTTTATACACAAAAAAAATATAACAAAAAAATGAAATATTATGGGCAATGCCCAAAGAAACTTTATAGTTGATCTAATGTTACGGTCATTTAATACTGTTTGAATCAGTATTTCACAATTACAATTTTGTGGTTTCTGTGGGGGTCGTGGTGTTCCTTGCAAGACTATTTCTATGTCAAGTTTGACTTTACTTAGATTGTCGGTAAAGTGTCCTGTCAGTAAAGTGTCATGTCGGCAAAGTGTCCTGTCAGCAAAGTGTCCTGTTGGTAAAGTAGGTGTCAGTAAAGTGTCCTATCGGTAAAGTGGGTGTCGGTAAAGTGTCCCAGACCCATATATTTCAGTTTTGGCAACAGTTTAGGGTTTCAGCAAGGTTTAGGATTTTACAAATTCCCTAAACTAGTTTTGGGAGGTTTCTGTTTCTGGTTTTTCCTAAACTTGGAGTTTCAGGTCACATCATTAGTGATGATACTTCAAAAATGGATGATAAGGAAACTACAAGCAATCAGGATAATAATTTCATTTTTTTTCTTTAGAAAGAAGGTTAATTAATTATTTCTGTTATTATAAATTTTACTTATTATTATTTTAATATTTTCTCGGTTATGTCAAAACTATAATATTTATGAAATAGGAATGTTATATAGGTGGTGAATGTAAAAATTGTAAAATACATAAAATGAATGAGAAGAAATTGGGATGCCGGAGAAGATACTTTATATGCAAATGATCACAATACTCAAATGTTATCATTTGCTGGTATTGATATTAAGTAGCAAAAAAGAGAACATACATCATTCTATAATCAATTACAGTATTAAAACAATGAAGAACTCTTGATGAGAAAGGTTGAGCTGAGTATGATTTTTTTTTTTGACTAGCTTTTTTGAATTATTGTAAAATTAAAATTTTACAGAATATTAATGCATTAGTAAAAATAAAATTAAAAAATATCATTATTAGAGCTTTTAAATGAATATTCTCTTGTATTAAGCGGAACTCTCATGCCTATTCAAAAACGGGCTACTTTTCTTCAAAATGAGATGATTTTATGGGCAGGCGCAAAACCTATTTTAATATATGGGGGTGAGATTTCTAGGAACATGTGGTTAAGGACCTCTTTGACTTTTTTTGGATAATATAAAGATTCGCAACTAGTAATCATGTTTGCTTAATAATGAGTTTAATTCGGTAT